ACCAGATTAGCAGGTATTTGGTGTATTTTCATTAAAATGTCTCAACTCGGAATCACATCCCTGAGCAGAGAGAAATCCTCTGATGGCTTTTAAGGCATTTTTGCTACTCTGTGCGTTTAATTGAGGGTTTGCTCCTAATCATTTTTATGCTGACTGTGGGAACACTGCAATGTGTGCTCTTTGCAGGCTGTGCTTCCAGAGGGGCTGGGTTTGGGAGGTGGGGGAAGCTCTCAGCTGCTCTGCAGCTGCAGCAGCCTCGCCAAAGCATCCTCTGGAGAGGGAGCTGCTCCACAGGCACATGACTCAGCCCTGCTCTGGATGAAGTCACTGTCAAGGGAAAGCAAACTCCATTTGTTTCTACCAACATATATGGTGAACTCCAAACACAAGTTCAAGGCAAAGCTCCAGTAATTCTCCCCACCCACTTTGCTTTTGTTTTGTTTAAGATGATGCAAAGGAGCTCAGTTTAAGTGACAGCAAGGAGATGCACAAACCCACTGACATCACTGTCCAGCACTGTGCAAAAGCAGCTCCCTGTCCTCATGAACCAGATCTCCAAGGATTTTTCCCCTTACTCCCTGTTCATGGGGTTTGTAATTAGTATGCAGCCATCACCTCCAGGAATATGGGATTATAGGATTGTGTATGAATTTATCTGCCTTTATTAACTCTGTTTTTAAATAATGAATTGAATTTTGCAGTGACCCATGACCAGGGAGTTCTTTACAGTTTTTTTTTTGCTGTCTTTCCCTTAAAGGGAGCAGCAGCACTGCTCTGTGCTGTTACCCAACACGTGTGAAGCCACCTCACACAATCCCAGAGCAGAGCCCATGCTGGCAACACCAGAAACGAGGAACAAAGCCTCTCAAAGCACATTCTTTTTAACAAAGAGTTAACCTAAAGGACAGCCCCGACATAGATCATTTCCAGCCCATGTGCTGTCTTTGAAACAGCATCTAAATTGAGGCAATTCCTTTCATGGCTTCAAATGCTACACATTTTTCTAGGATAAGAGAGTGGGAGAGAGGATGAGCACAGAGCTGCAGGTGCCCTGCAGAGTGCAGTATCAGAGTGGCTTTAAGTAGCTTCTGACATCAGATACTCTGACATTCCAGGGTGGCAGCAATAAGCTGCTCCTAACAAGCCAATTCATGAAAGCATTTTCATTTTTAATCAACACTGAAACATCCTCATGGGAATGAATCATATACCAAAATATAAACCTATTTTGCCCAGAGATGGCCTCGAGCACATGATTCAAGCTATCCTGAAGCACAGCGCTGGAACTGTGAGTCCCAGCTGAAAGGTGGCAGAAACAATTCCAGCTAATCCCTGGCTTCAAAGAGCCAGCCACCTCTCACTTTGCTTATTCCACTGGGGAGGCTCATTACAAATGGCCCTAATTGTTCTGGAAGGCACTCGTGCCTCCTTTAGAGGGACCAAACTGATGAAAGAAAAATTCAAAATGATAAGAAATAAATTTAAAAACAGTTCTGTTTGCCAAACAAGGCATTCCAATAAAACAGCCTTCACAAACTTGGCACTTGCTTTATGTTTTTTGAAATTCTCCTGTTTTAGCCAGAAGAGAGAAGACATTCTGGGAGGGGAAATCTGCAGATTACATCTGCCCTCAGTGCCAGTCACACACTTCCTCACCTTCTGCTTGATCTTTAATGCAATGCTAATGGTAACAATTTCTAGCCCGGGCTATTACTCACCAGCTGGCAGCAGCACAGCAAGAAGCCTTCCCCCCTGGCTAAGGAAAATCTTCACTTTCACATGCTAAACCTGGAGTCACATGGGTTTATAATAATCCTGGAAGTAAAGCATGAGTCGTTCATCCTGCAAAGCCCACAGAAACCCGACAGCAATTTGCTCGTTTTACACTTTAATCCGCCACAGAAACACATCTCAGCACCCTCAGTGTTTGTATTTAGAGGCTACCAAAAGCAGCCCTCAAGCGAGGAGCTCTCACCAGAATGCACTCGGTGTTATTGGCACCTGAAGAGCACTGAAATCTCATTTTCATGAATCACTGATTTACCAAACATCTCTTGGAGCAGGCTTCCAGCCCAGAACCTCCAGTTTGCTTTCTGCAATTTGCTGGCACTTGGCTAAGTCAGGCTGCTGGTTTATAAACACATTACTGGAGGCATCAGCACCATTACCTTGCAGTAACTTTGTTTACTGAGTGTACATGGGATGGGCAAAGCCCTGGTTACTGCAGGTGTGCCAAATTCAAGGAGCAGACTGAAAGTGGGGTTGGTGGATTTCTCCCAATTTCCCTTTCCCCTGGCTGTGTTGAGAGAACAAACACCAGAGAAGCTCTCTCTGTACACGTGGTGTCTGCCCTTACCTGGCATTTCTTTAGGAGTGCCACATGCCCAGCTTGCCATTTTGGAGCTGATTTTTTTTTACCCTGTATACATAAATAAACTTGAAAACCTGTCCTAGTTTTCCTTCCTCCCATCAGCCAGGCTCAGTGTTTCCTTGCAGGGCCCCAGCTGGCACTGCAGGCATAGCCAGGGAGGGACAATGGCTCATTTTCCTTGTCCCCCATCTCTCCCAGCCCCACAGCTCTGGGCAGTGGGGCCACCACAAACCCCAGCACACCCTGCATGGAGTTCTCTTCAAGCCCATGGATTTCACTTCCATGGAAGTGGGCCCCAGAGAAAGATAAAATTATACCAACAATCAGACTTGTCCAGGCAGGCAGCAGGCCCGGAATTCCTGAACCATTAAGGGTGGAAAAGCTCTCCAAGATCATCGAGTCCAACCATTCCCCCAGCACTGCCAAGGCCACCCCAGCCCACATCCCCAAGTGCTACATCTGTGTTTTCTGAGCATTTCCAGCCATGGGGACTCCATCACTGCCCTGTTCCAATGCTTGATGACTCCTTCCATGAAAAATTTCCCAAAGTCCACCCTGAGCCTCCCCTGCCTACCCTGAGGCCGTTCCCTCTCCTCCTGTCCCTGTTCTCAGATCCCAAATCCCCCCGGCTGTCCCCTCCTGTCAGGGAGTTGTGCAGAGCCACAAGGGCCCCCCTGATCCCCCTTTTCTCCAGCCTGAGCCCCTTCCCAGCTCTGTTTCCTTCTCTGGACATGAGCCCACAAGAATTCCCTGAATAAAAAAAACCTGGAAAACACAGTCGGACATCCCACCATGGAGCAGCAAGTCACAGCTTCCAAAGCAACCAGGAGCATTTTCCACAGCTCTGAGCACTGACTGCAACTGCAAATCAGAGTCAGGCAGTGCACAGAAGGAAAGAGCATGGAAATGTTACCCAAGTCCTACTTTGGTTAGCTGTTATCACATTTTATACATAAAGATAGGAAATATATACATGGGGCACAAACAAAACTTCTCCACTGCCCCTGGGCTCTTTTCCAAGAACATTTTAAACAATTTACAGTCACTAATAAAAAGTAATTGAAAGTCTCCAGAAAGTTTTTTCTTTCTTTTTCAGATGAACTTCCTTGCATTTAAGGCTTGTTATTCTGCAACACCTGCTTTTCACACTTTGTGCTTTAACCAAGAAATTATTTTGTTTCAAACACGAGGAAGTCACAGCTTTCCTTCAATTTTCTTTTCTTCTCAAAAAGATGAGAACAAAGTGCCTCTGTGTGTTACTGAAGTGCTTAAGGCCTGGTTTTAGTGCTGCTCATGCAGACAGAAGATTCAAGCACATCCAGGTTTTGATGGCAAGTAAATTAATTCTCTGGAAGGAAATAAATGGGCAGCCCTATTGCAAGGGTTTCCATTAGGAGATGTAGAATAACTCCCCAGTAATTCATTTGCCACAAAGCTGGGATTTCACCAGGGATCTAAGACAGGAAGCTCGAGTTTGGCATTTATTTGTGTCAAAACAGTCTGGCTACATTTCTATTATTTTATATGGTTTCTCAGCAAGGAAAACATCACAATGGGCTGGGACAAGGTTGGGAATTTTTTGGCTTGGCAGTGGAATCTGTGAAAAGCTGCAAGGAGAGGAGAATAAAGCTATCTTTTGAAACTTCACAAGCCAATGGTCACAGATGAGGGTCCCGTGTTACTCAATGCAGAAAGTGCAGGGCACCCCTGAAACCTTGAAAAAGATTGGAACAGTTCCCTTTTCCAGCCTTCAGTCACTGCATGAAAAATTCAATTGCAATTAGCATTTAGTACAAAGCACTTTCTGTAGGCTGACAATAGGTAGCCAGGGCAGAAAGTGTACGTAACAAGAACGGAATCCTATTTTAGAGAATCGCACGGGTTTTGCTCACAGTGGAGGGATCCCCACTTTCCCCCCAGCAAATTCAAACCCATCCAATTCCCTTTGCTAAGCAGAGTAAATCAAGAGCAAGGAAAACGAAGTTTAGATTAAAAAGCATCAGGGTAAGTTCAGGGACGTGTTAAATGGAATTGCTTATTTTGCTGTTCCATTAAATAGGCAAGCCCAATGCATCTGACACCCAGACCTATTCTTTACGATTACCATTCACCATCAATCATTTAAGCTGGGTGTCAGACCTGCCTAAGTCAAGTGCCCACTGCTCTGAATGACTCTGATGTGCACTTTGTGCTGGGAGGGAGAGGAAAGATGAACTATTATATTGCTAAATATCTCGGAGAAATAAAGGGTTTCTCCGTATTACATACATTCCCATGACATTTCAATTAATCTCCCAGCATTGTGTACAGTGTGGACACTAGAGCACGAGCTACTGTGCCTAAGGATAAAATAGCAAGGAAGAAAAAGTCCTGAGTCTTAGCTGATGTGACCTAAAGTAGAGGTTAAAACCAAACAGCACCCTCACCTTCACATCTGCATGCACAGAGACAACAGCAGCTGATAATTAATGCAATTTTAAAAAAGCTAAAAAAAAAAGCAGCTTTACAATCTTTGTGCCAAGTTGTCATTAACTGCCTACCACTCCCTTCTCCCAAGGAGCAGAACAGCGAGGAAAAGCCCTGGTGGCACCATGTGCTGAAGAGCATCGCAGAGTTAACATTTTCTTACCTTTTATAGAAACCATGGAGAGGCTGGAGACATAAAAACTGCCAGTAATCCAAGCAGAAGGCCTTCAACTTCAGCATTTTCCAGCACTCCTGCCGCCGGCACCGCGCTGTGCAGCGAGCGGGCTCCCAGCGACACGAGCCCGGTTAGTGGCGGTGCGGGTGGCGGGCGGGCGGCGCAGCAGCCGGGTGTCCGTGCATGCCTTGGGACAGCCCAGCCCGGGCAGCCCGGCTCGGCTCAGCCCCGCTCGGCTCAGCCCGGCTCGGCTCAGCCCCGCTGGGCTCAGCCCCGCTCGGCTCAGCCCGGCTCGGCTCAGCCCGGCTCGGCTCAGCCCCGCTGGACTCAGCCCGGCTCGGCTCAGCCCCGCTCGGCTCAGCCCGGCTCGGCTCAGCCCCGCTGGACTCAGCCCGGCTCGGCTCAGCCCCGCTCGGCTCAGCCCCGCTCGGCTCAGCCCCGCCGGGCTCAGCACCTGCAGCCCCGCGCCCCGCTCACACAAAGGCGGGCGCACAAAGGACACCGCGCCATGGGCGCTCTCTGAGCCCGCTTATCTCTCCCAAAGCCCCCAGTCCCGCCGGGATCACTGGCATTACACTGAAATCCCACTTCTCCTTTCGGCCGCTTTAGGCCGTTCTGAAAGCGCCCTGGACAAACAGCGTGGATAAATTCCAGCTGCGGGCTTTGATGGGCCCTTGGAAAGCATCCTTAGAGCTCCCAGAAGTTCGGAAAATGCAGGCAGTTATCTCGATGGGCCGTGACACCAGTGCCCGATACCCAGAGCAGAGCTGCGATCTCAGCACATGGGGCTGCAGGCGTTTGCCCTTTTCCCTTTCCCCCCCCCCCGTGAATCAGCTCCTCCTGCACCAGCACATCAGCTCCATTGTCTGCGGCACCTCGGGAACTGGGGGCTTCTCGTCAGGGGAGGGGAAAGGAGCGGAAAAAAGGAAAAAGAAGAAGGAAAAAAAAAAAAAAAAAAAAAAAAAAAAAAAAAAAAAAAAAAAAAAAAAAAAAAAAAAAAAAAGAAGGCAGGCAGGAGCTCAGACCCTCCCGCTCACACACCAGATTGTGCTTATCAGGCTCCCAACGCGCTTTGCCAGCGAGCGCGGGGGGGAGGATGAACCAACCCCGAACCGCGGGGCGGCTGCGGGACAGCCCCCGAGGCACGGGCACGGACGGACAGAGAGACAGCCGGACAGACACAGAGACAGCCGGACAGCCAGCCAGCCAGGCCGGCGGCCGGGACGGACAGCCCCTCCGGGAAATCCCGGCGGAGCATCCCGCGGGATGCCGGCAGCCGCTCCGGAGCCATCCCCGAGCCGCGGGCACGGCTGGAGCTGCTGGGCTCAGGACGGCAGAATTAGCAGCGTTTGCTATCGAAACCTCTGCTAGGCTCCAAAAAAGCGGGTTGCTTTTGTTCGGAGAAGACAGGAGCACCAATTTTTTAAAATTTCTATCTTTTACCATGGCCCAATTCTACCAACTCCCTCCCCTCCCCTCCTCCTTCTTCTCTCTATCCCAACGTGAACTGCCACCGGTGAGAATCCTGGAATGGAATCACACAGGGCAGGGTTAGATTAGATGGGAATGCTCCGTGTGAGGGTGGGGAGCCCTGGCACAGGGTGCCCAGAGCAGCTGTGGCTGCCCCTGGATCCCTGGAGGTGTCCAAGGCCAGGCTGGGTGGGTCTTGGAGCCATCTGGAATAGCGGGAGGTGTTCCTACCCATGGCCATGGAATGGGTGGGTTGGGCTTTAAGGTCCTTCCCAACCCAAATGGGTGTGGGATTCTATAAATCTCCAGGGATGGAAGAGACCCACAAGGATCATCCAGTCCAGCCCCTGGCCCTGCACAGAGCCCCCCAACCAATCCCACCCTGAGCATTCCTGGAGTGCTGTTCCTGAAGCTCTGGCATCCTCGGGGCTGTGCCCATTCCCTGGGCACCCTCTGGGGTAGAAACTTTCCCTGACACCCAACCCGAACCTCCCCTGAGAGAGCTCCAGCCTTCCCTGGGTCCCGTCCCTGATCAGACAGGAGAGATCTGTGCCCATCCCTCCCCTTCTCCAGTCTCACAGGATACTCTGAGTTAACAACAGCACAGAACTGCTCCATTGCATCAAACAGCACTGGCACATGAGAACTTCAACAGCATTTTATCTTAAAAATCTATATACATTAGAAAAATGTTGCTGTTGTGTCCTGATGGAGACCAATGCTTGAGTCCAGTTTGCTGTAAGAATACTCTTCCAGCAGCTACAATTTGGCTGTTTCTCATTCTGTTTCATTTCTGAAAATCACCCACAATAAACACCGAGGCTACAGCTTGCACTGCTGTCGAACAGGTATAGAGGAAGTTAAGAATTCAACAGTCACAGCAACAAAACCAAAAGCAGAATCTGACAGAATGCTTCAAAAAAAATCTGGCACTTGGACAGTGTGTAAAACAAAACCAACAAACAACCAACCAACAAAAAGCACCCCAAAGAAACAAACCAACCATAAAACACCCCCACAATCCCCTCCCCAAAAAGCCACAAGAATTTTAACGCTGTTTAAAAAATATGCAAAGAAAACCAAGCCCCTAAGCCTCAACCTGAGGCTCTTTTCTATGTGGACCTATCTAGTTCCCCAAGTGCCTGGATAATAAGCTATATTTAGGGGTTCTGGTTTTCCTCATTGTCACTGTGCAGTTATAGAAGTGTCTTGCATCTTCTCAGAAAACTGCTTTGTGTGAGTTTAATTAAATGAAATTATAAATATATTTGAGTAAGAATTGGCAGTTTCTTTAGTGAAGTAAAGAAATCACTGGGTTATGCTTAAACAGGGTCACACTTTGTGTGGTCTCTCCCTAAATATATCTTGTACAGGACAGGGCAGGTGGTGGGAATGACCAGATCATGAGAAAAGCAACTTGCAGGGAAAAAATATGTTTGCTTGAGGCCTTTTAAAAAGCAATTTCTTGTGAAGATTCTCTTTCAAGTACTGCTTTCCTTGTGCTGCCTGCATTTATTTGCTGGAATTTCTTTCAGAGCAGCACCAGAGCTGGTGACTCCTAAGCAAATACAGCTGGATATCTGTGAGAAGCAGCATCACCCCCCAACAATTATTTTTATTTTAGAAACAAAACACTGCCCAAATCCAAGCCTATTTATCTTCCTGGACTCATATTCCCTTGGGCTTCGTTAGCTTGGCAATTTTCAAGTCACTGATGCCATCATGGTGAGGATATTTAGATTTTCTTATCAAAAATCTTTCATCCCTGCTTTTCATCCTCTTTTCTCCAGGGTAGTTTTATCTAAAGAGGAACTGAGGGAAGACCCTGGAGACCCAGTGGCTGCTGGTGAGCCCCAACCTCCTGGCACTGGCTCCTGCCTTGGGTTTGGAACTGCCAAGACAGTAACAGGAAATCCTTTTCCCTTTGTTTCCACACACACACACATGCATTAAAAATAAAAAAGGTGTAAGAAAAAAAGAGAAAAAAATAAAATAAATTGAGTTTTCCCCATTGTAACATTTATGTACCTGAATTTTTTGCATTCCAAGAAAAAAAGAAGAAAAAAAGAAAGAAAAAAAAATAGGTTACATCCCATAACCAAGGCCAGCTATCCCCAGGATGAAGGAAAAAGGGAAAGCCAGCCCAAGACAAGTAAGCTCAGGAGACGCCAGCCAAAGACTTGATCCTGAAACGAGACTTTTCAGGAAACTTCCCCTTTGTTCACATTGCAAAGCAATTTCTTTCTCAGCATCATATCCTTTCCAGAAAAAACAAAAAACAACCTATTTATCACCTTAATTATCTATTTCTAAGCAGTGGGCTCAGAGCATAGGAGCCATGTACCCATGGATTTCCTGACAGTATCCAACACTGATTATCCCACCCTGCGTGCAGAGAAAATGCTAATGAGGACTTTTGCAAATGAAAAGCCCCACGCTCTCAACACGTTCTTCATTTTCACTTGTCTTCCAGAGGAAAACAACAAAGGAAATTAAGCTTCATCTCACGCTCAGCCAGGATATAGAACTGGTTCTTTCAGAAAGGCATTTACCCAAACCTTTGACTTAGAATTCCCAGGCCTAACACAAGCAGGGATTTTTGGATGTGCTGCAGCTCCAGCACTGGAGCCGTGAGCAGTTTGCTGAGAATTTCTGCAGTCACTCAGAGTTCAGCCTCTGACAAGGCTTTCAAACACTGCCACTAAAAAGAGGGCCAAGTGGAAATGGAACATGGCACCACCTCCTTTTTTAGGGGTGATTTTCTTGCCAACCCCTGGAGCCCTGAGGCTAAAGGAAAGCAATCCTTTATCCACACTGAGGGATAAAATAACCCCAGCATGAAGCCAGTGCCTGCTGGAGTTCCTAGTTCCTTACTCTCAAAAGTTGGGCAGACCAGGAAAATTGACTTGTCTGGTGACAATCTTTCACAAAATACTAATATTGAACTACTGTTTTTCACTTAGTTAAACTTTTAGAGTGACATGCCAGGAACGTTCCTGAAAAATATTTTACTTCCCCAGAAAAAAAGCGTATCCCCCTATCTAGGTGGAGTACAGAAACTGTAGCAGTTAGATTGTTTTCCACAAGACTCCGGGGTGAAATACTTGACTGGCCACACACAAAAAAAATCATGGTAGCTATTTGTGTGTTGTGGAGTTTAGGAATTTCACAGGACCAGTGTAGGTCCCATATTCATCCATGATACCCTGCACCCAGCACCTTACAAAGTGAGGGAGTACAGAGAAGGTGTCCAAACCAAGGGTTTTGGCAAGCAAAGAGATGCTGAATTTCTTCCTGGAAGGTTTGAGGTGCTCACAGGACACCAGAGCACGCCCAGCTCCGTGCCCTGGGTGCTGTGTGGGCGCTGAAGTGCAGGAAGTGGCCTCCACATCAAAGCTGGGCAGAAAATTCCTGGGCACCATTTGATGTTCAAGGCTCTGGCAACGCAGATGTTCCTCCCTGCCCCTCGCAGGCATTCCTGGAGCATCCCTGCCCTTCCAGGGCTCCTGCAGAGCCCTTGGGCTCGGTGTTGGGGACCAGCTCTGCAGAGACTCCCAGAGAGGCAGGACATAAATCAAGGTCTTCTCCTTCTATACTGCCTTGAAGGCAGCTCTGCTGCCTAG